GAGTTCGGCCCTTTTGATTTTCCTACTCTAAAAAAATAGTATTCTTAATGGCTTGCATTGTTTTTTCCTTTGTTTGAATCTTCTTCTGTAATTGTTCAAATAACTCCACGTCAACATTTTCCTTCTGGTTCTCTGTGTCTGTGGTATTTGTTGGGTCTTCAATGTGGTCTGCTTTTTTAGGAGAAGGGTTATTTTGCTTTTTAGTAATATTTGAGGCTGCCTGCTGTTTTCTTGACAGTATGTGACTGTTCTTGGTAGGCTGTTATAATTGTGCAATATCCTAGGGGAGGGTGATGTTCGTGAGGAACATGTATATTTGTACTTGCCTTTAAGGGCAGAAGTACCTGAATTACAGAGTGCACGGGTGTATTGTCCTCTGGAAAACCATTTAGGGTACACTGCTTTCCCCCTTGGCTTAAGAAATTCACATCTTCTAGGGGAGCTCTGGTGGCCTAGTGGCAAGGAGCTATAACTACAATTCCAGAGGCACATGGTTCGAATCCACCAGATGCTCTGCTGGGAAAAGGAGGGACAATCTCCTCCTGTACCAGTCAGATCTGATTTGACGGTATACTCACACAAAAATAAACTAAAAAAAAAATTTAAAAAAAATCACATCTTTTGATCTCTTGACTGCTGTTGCTAATGGGTGGTGATTGTGGGTGCAAGCAAAATTAAGCCATTGACAACTTCAGCCCAAGATGTTGGTGGAAAATGAGGCTCTACCAACTGGACAATTGAGATTTAAAAACAGACAGGTGCAGCCCTGGATGTGTGCACTCCTCATGTCAAGAAATCTGGAAGACACTTTCTTGGCCAAGTAACTGGAAGAGATCAATCTGTATGCCCATTCCAAAATATAGTGGTACAACACAATGTGGAAAGTACTGAACACTATCATTAGTATCTTCTCTCAAGTTGGAACTGAGCCTCCACGGGGTTTCCAAAGCTGCAGCTCTCATTAGCAGAGCTTGCTCATCTTTCTCGAGCAGAGCTGCTGGTGGATTCTAGCCACCAAAGAGACTCAATCTTTGGGTAACACAGCCCCCTCTGGACTAGGTCACCAGAGTTCACTTATCAATACTACGCACAAGATTATTCAAAAACAGCTGAAACAGCACATGAACGGAGAGCTTTCAGAAATTCAAGCTGGATTCAAAAGAGGCCACTGAAGGAGAATATCATTGCTGATGTCAGATGGATATTGAATGAAAACAGAGAATTACCAGAAAAATGTTTGTTCTTGATTGTTGTTATGTGCCGTTGAGTCACCTGTGACTCATAGTAACCCTCTGTACAACAGCCCTAAACCCTGCTCTATCCCTTGACAATCTTACTGTCTCCAACACGTCTATTCGCATTACCCCAGTGAGGGAATCAATCTATCTCATGGAGAGTCTTCCTCTCCTGCGCTGTCCCTCCAGCCTCCCAAGGAGGATGTCCCCCCCCCAAGGACTGATCCCACCTTGCAACATGTCCAAAGTATCAGATGAAGTGTCAGAATCCTTGCGTCCAAAGGACAGGGTGGCTTCACCCTCTTAAGGAAGAACTTGTTCTCCTAGCAGTCATGGTATATTCAATACTCTTCTCCAGCACCAAGGTTCAAAGGCATCAACTCTCCCTAGTCATTGTCAAGCTCTCTGATGCTCAAACATTATGTTGTGTAGATAGATCATGATAAACTATGGCTGACACTGCAAGGAATATTCAAGAGCACTTAATTGTGCTCATTTGGAAACCTGGACATAAACCAAGAGAAAGAAACTCCTGTTGCTGCCTAATCAGAACTAACTCATAGTTGACTCTCCAGTGGGTTTTTCAGAGGCTGTAATCCCATGAGAGGAGCTTGCCTAATGTGGACAACTCCAGCAGCCATTAGAACAAGAGATCACTGTATGTTTTAAAAACAGGACGGGTATCAGGGTTCTATCCTTTCTCCACACCTATTCATTCTGAATACAGAGCAGATCACTTCAGATGTGGATTATATGAAGAAGAATGTGCTATCAGGATTAGAGACTCAGCACAACCTGTGTTATGCAGATGAGAACCCTGCTTACTGCAAGTGAAGAGGACATGAAGCACTTACTGAAGAAGATTAAAGACCTCAGCGTGGGTTACATTTCAACATCAAGAAAACAAACACCGTTATCACTAGACCAATAGGCAACATCATCCTTTGTCCACTTTAGCTTTCCACATGTTACAGCTTAGGGATCAGGGATATGAGTAGAATAGAATCACCTGAAAATCCTACTCCCCTGGAGGTTATGCACAGAGATCAAGGATGTGGGTGTGACAGAAGCAGAGCTTGGCAAGTTGCGACTTCATTGGCGGCTTCACTCGGAAGTTCCCTCTCACAGCTTCACATGTTTGCAGAGACAGACTCATTTCAGGACGGGCTGAAGGATAACTGTAGCAAGGACAGAGTGGCACCAGAAGCCCAGGTTCTCCTGCCTGAGGTTCCAGACACAAGTATTGTCGTGGTGTGGAAGTCAGAGTTTAATCAACTTGAAAGCTTCAACGGGACAAGAGCATAGCTCATTCCAGAGAGCACACTCACATAGCCCTGAATGCTGTAGTCTAACACAGCATCTGCCCAGAGACCACCCTTCACTGGTTCAAGGATGGGGTGTGTGGCATGGATTCTCTCCTCCTAAAACAGGTGTATATCATGACCCTTACATATATATAATGACCTTTTGTGATCTGATGAACCACACAAATGTCAAAAGGATCAAGGGTAGGAAGTAACACTTTCATCTCAGCCCAACGTAGAGAGTTTCCATGGGGTTTGGACCATAATATTTCCTAGGAGTGAAAAGGAGAGAATGTCTGCCTCGCCAAGAAATAATCACCAGGAGGGGAGTGTGCCCTTCTGGACTTGGGTCCCTCAATGCCAGGGAAGATCAGGCAACTCAACCAGGAGGCAGCGACTACATATGCTGGAGACAAAGACCCCAGAACCCACAGCAGGGGCCTTCCCCAAAAGCCAGCACTCTGAGTATAAATTGTGTCTTCCTAAACAGTAAGAAGATTAGTTTGTTTGAGCCATTTCCTTCTCTCTCATTATAGCAGTACCCAGGACCCGAGACAGGGTTACTGTTCTCCCACACATCTCAAATTCCAGCCAGACACTGGACAAGGAAACACAGGCCACTGGCTGCAACATCATCAGAGAACATGGAAACTGTCGCTGATTCTCGACTGTTCAGGGAGTATCTCACATTAACATACAGAATGACAGACACTGGGCATCACAGATGGCAAGGTGTCAGGATCTGAAACAGTGGTGCTGTGAGGAAAGGCTCATCAGTGTCAGGCCCTTGTGCATAGCTGGAAAGACACACAGGCCACGCTTGTGTGTTCTCATGCTCCTGGGCGTCCAACAGTTTGTTTAATCAGAAGTCTGTCATGGCGCCTGACTCAGATGGTCAAGGACAGGTGCCAGTGTGGGGCCACATGAAAAGGGACGCTGAGGTCACAGCACTGATCCCTTGTCCTCTGCTCCCTGACATGCTTCAAAGCCCAGCACAGGCTGGCAGCATACCCAGCATCTCACCTGGGAAGCACTGAGGCAGCTGAGGGGTCAGGAACTGCACTGCCAGGGCAGAGGTACGTAGCTTAAACCCATCAGTGACTGCGGGACTGTTAGGCAGAAAAGGCAAGATTCTAAACAGCCAATATTTAGTGACCAGCAAAGTTTATCAAACTTGACGGTCAAGAACGTCAGCTACTATCCAAGCCATTCTGACCCTGAGGGGAAGCAAAGGTTGGGTTATATATACAGAGATGGGGCGTGGGGGTTACACGCAGCTCATTGTGGTTGGCAGTTGAGATTTCTTCCCATTTAGGAGCTGCTATTGGGTCTGGCTTTTCGTGGGTGTCCAGGCCCTGGACCAGGTACAGGATGTAGTCAGGGAGTGGTAATCAAACCGGGTCAGCGTGCACTAGGCAACTCTGGAAACACATTATTGCCAAAATTATCAAGGCATACATTTCTTAAAGTGGCTGTGAGAACGAAATGGCTTTTCAGGAGGGGCATCACTTCCTAAACTCCACGCCTCTGGAAACTCTATGAACTTTGAGAAGTGACAATTGTCATAGAACGGGATTAAAGTCTTTTGTTCATAGGGTTGCTATGAATCGTGCTCGAGTCTATCGCAATCAACGCAACACTTAGCATATAAACTACTACAGGAGAAGGCTGCGCAGTATCTGCTCACGTGCGTTACAGCCTCTGAAAACCTGCTGGAGGGTCAGCTAGGGGTTGGCTCCACCTTGACGCTACACAGCAGCTACCGTGGGCACCAGATGGTGATTAACCATACAATTCAACCTGTCCAAAGCTGGTCTAATCGTTTAATGCACAGAATTTCTTTCTGTTTTTGCTCTCATGCATTTGCTGAACTTTTCACGGTCGCCTCCCGTGGTGTTGGGTCACTCACACGGAAGAACGGCTCTGAGAAGAGCAAGCTCTGGCCTCATTTTCAAGTTGTCAGGCACACCGGTGCTTCTCTGTATGCACTTTGTCTCCACCCCAAATTCTCCCAGCTCCGTGCTCCTCACTGACCCGTAAGTGGGCGACAGACAGCCGGCATGTCTCTGAAGGACGGCCAGGCGGATGCTAGGTGGGGAGGAAGGCCTTAGCCTCGCGGATCTTCTGCTGCACGCCCCTGCAGGACAGAGTCAGGCCGGCATGGTGGTGCTTCAGACTCTCCAGCCGCTGCCGGAGCTGCTCTGTCTTGTCCACCTTTTTCTCCAGGTCCCGGAGGAGGGCCTCCTTGCCCAGCAGTCCACACGCCTTGCTCAGCCTGACGTTGTCCAGCCGCAAGCTGTCTCGGGCCTGTTTGGTCTTGGTCAGGATGTCCCTCTTGTGGGCTACTTGGGCCTCTGTCTCCAGGAGGCGGGCCTTTTTGTGTGCATTTTCCATCTCCACAAAGTGCAGCTTCTCCTTGACGTGGGTGATCACCTGCACGTTGCTGGTCACCTTGCTGTGGAGCTTCTGCAGCTCCTCGTTGCGCTCCTCCACCTTCTCGTTGAAGGTCTGGTTCTCGATCTTGAGCTGCTCGAAGTCTATGAGGAGCAAACCCTCGGTCATGTCCTCCTGGGCCCGCATCCGGGTCTCGACGTGCGCCAGGCTTTGCCTCAGCTGCACGTTCTCCAGCCTTACTGCGCTCATCTCTTGCTCCTTCCTGTCCTCCAGGGCCTGCAGCTGCTCGACCTCCCGCAGGGCCACCTGGCGCCCTCCGCGCAGCCGACAGCTGCCCATGACCTGCAGCATCACCTGCTTCTTGAGGGCCTGGAAGGCGCGCCACTCCGTCTCCACCCGGGAGACCTTCTCCTGGCACTGCCGCTTGAGCTGGGCCAGCTCCTGGTGGTACCAGGCCAGGTCGTCCGCCTGCTGCTTCTTCAGCTCCTCCAGCGTGGCCAGGCAGTGCAGGTAGGCCTGCTCCTTCTCGGGGGCCTCGGCCTCGGCCTTCTCGAGCGCCTCGGCCACGTCCAGGCCCTTCTTCCTGCGCAGTGACTCCAGGATCTTGTGCTGCAGGTGCGCATTGTAGCGCTGGAAGCGGCTGCGCTCCACCAGCAGCGCGCGGTACTGCTCCAGGAGCTCGGAGCGCAGCTGGTGCTCCTCCAGCTTCTGCACCGCCCGGGGCCACGCGGCGTCCAGGGCCACGTGCAGCTCCTCGTAGCTGGACCCCCTCCGGCTCACCTCGCCGTCCTCCCCGCGCCCCTGGGAGGCGTCCGGCTCCCGGGGGGGCAGCAAGGCCGGCGCGGCCCCGGTGTCCTCCGCGCCCTCCTCGGGCCCCTCGGAGCCCGCCTGCGAGCCGGCCTGGGAGCCCATGGCGGTGCCCGGCCGAGGGGACTGCTCCGTGTCCTCGCTGGGCGCGGCCTGGGGCTCCGCAGGTTCGGGGGGCTCCGCCTCGACCTCAGGCCCGCTGTCCGCCGGCACCTCCCCGGGCTCGGGCTCGGCCGCGGCGGGGCTCATGGTCTCGGGCTCCGCTGCTTTGGGCGCGGCAGCCTCGGGGGTCGCAGAGGGCCGGGTGGACTCGGCGGGCGCGGTGGGCTCGTACTCATCCGGCCTGTGCTGGCCTAAGCTGGGCTCGACCGACCCCGACCTCGCACTCCGCAGGCCCCGGACATCTCCCGGCTGCTCTGCGTCCCGGTCCATTTTCCACCTGCGGGCAGCCGCTCGGTTTCCAGGGGCAACCACGGGCACGCTAGGTGCCTGCGATTGGTCAAGAGTCGCCCTGGCCCCGCCCCACTGTCCCGTGTAGAATCTGACCAATGGGAGGCAGCCAGGATATTCGGAGGGTAGCGATTGGTGGCGCTCTCTGCACACGCGCAGCTCGGCTCTGGGCGTGGCGTCGAACGCAGGGGGCCCCCCCTGGAGTGGCGCAGTGCGCAGGCGCGGCCTCTGGGCGTGGCGCGAGCGCGGGCAGCCTGGGGAGTGGCGCAGCGCGCAGGCGCGGGGGGTGCGTGCGCC